GTCCGAGCCAGTCAGCGGCCGCTGACCCGGACTGGCATCGTGCAGCCGCACTCTTGCACACCCCCAATTCAGGTCAAGAACAAAACGGCCAGCGCACTGCCCAGCCATGCAGCCAAGCCCCGCAGGGCTTTTTCCTGGATGTCTTTGCAGGCCGATGCCACCCCGTGACAGCCGCCATGCAAAAGCTCCGCAAGGCATGTTTTGAACCTTTCGACCTAGAGGGCAATGCCCGACACGATATCCTGCACGACCCCACTTTCGAAGTCCTCCTTCGACTGGCATGGTCCGGCTTGGTTAAGTTCGTTATGATTGCACCGCCGTGCAAAGAATTTAGCAGACTCAAGCCAGGGGGACCCCGACCCCTACGCACGCCAAAATTTATGCAGGGCGTGCCCAACCTGCCGCCACACCTGCAACAACGGGTTAAAGACAGCAGTGAGATCCACGCCCGTGGACGTGCCATATTCGAAGCAGTCGTCGCCAAAGGAGGCATTGCCATCCTGGAACAGCCCCCTTCGTCAATGGCCTGGCTGGAACCCGCAATGCCATGCACATATGGCCTGGGTGGCCGCCTGCCGCCACCATCTAGACATAGCCAAGTCCTGGTCTGTTGCCAGCAACTGTCCCAAGCAGCTGGCAGCCCAATGCGGCCATGCAAAGCCACACCCGCAGGGGTTAAAGTGAACGGCTCACAGCAGAGTACCCCCCGTCCTTGGCTATGGCCATAGCCCAAGTCGGGGAACACAAGGTCTCACCATCAGACCTCAAGCCCACTCCCCTGCCGCTGCCAGGGGACTACGCTCCGCAGGACTCGCTAACGCCAACCCTTCACGCATGCCGCCTACGCGTGTGCGACGGAGCAGGCATGCACTCTACCGCAGATTGGAGCATACCACATCCAGGCCACCCTCTACAGCCGCACAGGCATGGCTGCAGTGGGCAAAGAACAATGATGTGGTGCCACGCATCGTGGCCCACATCGCTCAGGCACGCCCAGAACCGCCTCTCTCGCAAGAAGAGGGGATCGAATGCGCCATGCTCGCTTTCAAGGCATTGAACTCAGCACCGCCCGAATGCTGGGAGCCCAACCCAGGCCAGCCATATCGGCTGCGCCTGCTGCAAGCCATGGGAGTCGCATCCAGCGACCCAGATATGGCGTTGCTGCCGCTGCTAGAAACAGGTGTGCCGACAGGGGCCATCTCACCGTTGCCACGCAGCTTTCAGTGGCCCCTCAAGGCCAACTCAGAAAGCACAGCACCGCCTTTTTGAAATCTGCGACCAAAATTGGAAAAACACCGAATCTGAGCCAGAGGTAGTGAAAGCTCTTTTGGAAAAAGAGATTGCTAGCGGATGGGTAGTCCGCGCGCACTGCTCCGAAGCCGAAGCTCATGCAGGCTGGCCAAAGGGGGTGGCCGTGGGAAAGCTTAATGTTGTTTTTGCAGATAATAAAGAGCCACGCCTTGTCTTGGATAGCACAGTGTGCAACGTGAACCCACGGTGCCATTTGCCTGAACAGGTAAGCCTCCCAATGGCCTCAGATTTGTGCCTTGCCACGCACTGCAAAGACGCGCGCAGCGCCTTCATTGGCGCCAGCTTCGATTTCAAAGCCGCGCACAAACAAATTCAAGTTCACCCTGACGAGCATGGCCTTTTGCTCTTCAGATTTCAGGGCGAACTTTACCACTACCGCGTTTGCCACTTTGGGGGCCGCTTCTCCGCTTTCTGGTGGCAACGGACAGGTGCCTTTATGTTGCGCCTAATGCACGGCCTGCTAGCCATGTTGCCACACAAAGCCTGGCTCTTCGTGGATGACTTGCTGGCAGCTTTGTGTAGATCAGCAGGGGGCGAACAGCTGGCCATCATGGCCATCTTCTTCTGTGCCATCTCCGCCCCTATTTCCTGGAAAAAAGCCAAGTTTCAGGATCAGATCAACTGGTGCGGGTGGTCAGTGCATTTTGGCCACGACACCATACATTTGATGGAAGCCAAGTTAAATAAGCTGCGTCAGCAGCTGGAAAACTTGAGCCAAGCCCATAAAGTACCACGCAAGGCCCTAGAACAATGCCTAGGCCTGCTTATCTGGGCAACTAGCATCTCCAAGCACTTGCGGCCTTGGCTTGCCCCGTTGTACTCTGACTTGCATAGCCCTCCAGGGAGCATGTACTCCGTTTCGGCTTCCACATGGCAGTCCTTCCTATCCAGCTTGGACTCGACGGGTCGCGCAACCCGCGCCATGCCAGGACTATGGATCCCAACACTCGCTAGAGTGATTGAGTGTTCAGGCAAGCCAGTGCGCTGCAGAGCCGACCTGCCCGCCGTGCCAGCGTCGCATAAGCCGACATGGGTTAGGATCTCAGACCCAAACTCGCCCACCGTCACCCTACGCAAGGACAGTAAGGCTTGTCTCATTTGGCTGTCGCGGTGCTTTGCTAGCACCCCGACTGTTCCTCTGGCCTTGCCACCATTATTGCCCTGCCTAGCCGCCGCTGACGCTTGTGCAGAAGGAGACACCGTAGGGATAGGCGGATGGTTCCTCACCAGCAACGCATTTGCATGGTTTGGAGAAACATGGTCCATGTCGGACATTCGGCAAACTTGGCCTTTCCTGACCAAGCCAGCACAGCGCTACATAGCATGCTTTGAGACCATAGCCCAATTCGCATTACTACAAGTTGCCCATGCAACTTCAGGCCAGGGGCACTATCATTTTACGTTGCCATCGGGCACCGATAATTTGGCAACAGAAGCCGACATTAACAAAATGTTTACTACGTCCTGGCCTATGCAAGTCTTTTTGCAGCTCATCGCGTCTTGGGCGCATTCGCGCAATGTAGTGTTGCAGCCAACACACATTGCAGGCTCCGCCAATGGGTGGGCCGATGACCTCAGCCGAGACAGGCTGTCACGCTTTGCTAACCAGGCTCAGCACCGGCGCCGCTTTACCCCTGAAAACATCAATGCCTCGAGCCGACGATTGACGCTGCATCCTGCCGATGCACCGTGGAGACCCGAGCACCGCACGGCCACAGGGGGATTTGAGCCCACACTGCCTTGCACAGCTGCTTGAGCACGGCCGAGCACTGGATAAATAGCGCGCCTTTCTCCAGTTAATTGAAAACAAAAGCAGCGTGCGCATGCCTTTACATTTTCTCACATGTCGCGACGCCAGGCTCACGCAACCCGCTCTGAAGTGGGGGAGCTTAGCGAAGGCCGGGTTGCGCTGGACACTAAAGAGGGGGTTAATAGAGCCTTCCCTAGCTGAAGCCGTGCACGGCAGTGCACCGCTCTGCGTCAGCTAGAGACTCCAGCGCAACCCGGTTACAAAAGGAGAGCGCGTCTCGTTCGTATCAAGGGTTGGGTTGCTTTAGGTTGGAGCAGTGCATGTTTCCTATAACGCTAGGGGTTGTTTGTTCCCCCGTGTTATAGGGGCATGTGAATCTACACCGCTTGTGGCCATTTCTGCTCCAAGCTAAACAACCATGCGGTTTCTATGTTTGAAACCCACCCACCCTCCCCTTTTGACTAAGGCAAGCGGCTCTGTTCTTGTGCTCGCACAAGCACATGCGAGCCGCGAGCCTTCTATGTGCCGCAATTATCATTCATTGTGGTTACTAAGGCGTTGGACGCCCAACCGCGCGCCACTCAGTGGCGGGTGCCCGGCCCCGCAGGGCCAGGCACCGAGATTAATTGCTCAGGTACATTCACCTTACCCTGTCACACCGCTGTGTACAGACCGCTGTCCAGGGCACTTAAGTGCCCTCACATTGGCTTGATAGTCAAGCTAAACTGGCGCCGCAGCGCCAAGCTGTGTACAGACCGCTGTTCAGGGCACTTGAGTGCCCTCACTTTGGCTTGACAGTCAAGCTAAACTGGCGCCGCAGCGCCAAGCACCGCAGTGCGCTGGGACAACCCTAGGAACCAATCCACGGGACCCCCAGACTAAGGTTCGTTAAAACTCCTCGGCACCGCCGTGCGAAGAATCAATCGAGGATTTAACTCCAGCGTGATGCATACGTTTCACCAGGGGGTTAATAGAGCCTTCCCTAGCTGAAGCCGTGCACGGCAGTGCACCGCTCTGCGTCAGCTAGAGACTCCAGCGCAACCCGGTTACAAAAGGAGAGCGCGTCTCGTTCGTATCAAGGGTTGGGTTGCTTTAGGTTGGAGCAGTGCATGTTTCCTATAACGATTGGGTTGCGGCGCAATGCCAATTCTCGTTTTTGTCCAGCAAAGCAAGCTCAATCGCACACACTCGCGTGCAAGCAGCGCTTCGCGCGACGCGCCCGAGCGCGTGACTCGTGTTGTTGGTTGTGATTGTCTTCACTATTCCAAGATGCAGCATCGCGCGCGTGGATTGAACTAGGATCGATTTTTGAAAAGGGGCATGGCGGCCATGTCAATCCAGGTGACGAAGACATGTATGCATTGATGATTTTCTGTATTTGCAATGGGGCATAATTGTTTCGATACAGTGCATGTGTATCTAAATCGTCCCCATTTCCATTTGCACTTTCTCACCTTTTGTTTGGCGGATTTGTTCATAGCGTGTTTGGCATTGCGCAACAATTGCTGTCGGTTGAAAGCAGTCGGAATGTGCTTCATTTGACTAGTGTGTTTTTTTTTCAAATGACAGTTGCATTGTCCAGATTGCGTTTTGCTTTGGGGACCATGAGAAACTCCTGTTTCGAATCACCAATTGTCGCCAATTTGCAAACACAGAAAAACAACGAAATCTGTTTGTTGCCATACACTTTGTTGGTTTTGCTCGATTTTTTTGGCTCAAATGTAGTTTTCACCCTGCAACAAATGTAGAATCCAGATATTATTCCAGTAGCCAGTGTCACAAACATCTGGATGTTGATTATCGTCGACGTTTGTCAATGCTTTGTTGAGTAGTGGGGTTTTGCCTGTCATGGTTTGAGTGGCCGCAGGGATATTTTGCGGTGTTGGCCAACATGTTGTTTGCCGTTTCTGCACATCTCAACCAATCAATCAACCTGGGATGGAAAGCAAACCTGGGAATCGACCGTCCTTCAAGTTGCTGCATGGCTAGCGATTGCCGCTTCACCGCGTTTTCAGAAGGATGTCATCATTACAGGACGCGGTGTGAGCGTTTGCGCAAACCCCACGCGGCTTATCAGATTCCTGGTTTCAGGAGGCGATGCAAAATTGTCTCCCCGTGCGCTCAAACTCGGCGGTTGCTGCTTGCAAAGCTGTTTGCGCTAACTGAGGTGTTGCGGCGAGGCATGCGCCATGGCAAAGCCATTGCCTTGCACATTTTGCAAGTGTGCAAGTCAAACACAGGTGTACTGGTGCCGGCATTGCCACAACGAAGTCTTGCCCTTAGAGTTTCACTGTTTTCATAAGTTGTGCGTCAATCTAGGTGTCAATGATTGTTGGAGCCACAGGCTGCGAGCGTCAGTGCAGAGCCGCACGAAGTAAACAGGGCTTCGATCTGCGAGGAATCGAGCGTCGAGCGTCGAATCTCAAATGTGCCGTTTGGGGACTCGAATTCAGCACTTCGCTTTCAATTTTTGTTTCCGAATCGGTCGACAGGTGATATGCCAGCACTGCCATTGCAAGCAACGACCTTCGCAGCCCGGGCCTTAGACGAGAATAATTCGCAGCCAGCGGGAGCACGGGAGCTCATGTGCTCACCTCTTCTATTGTTTCTTGCTCAGGCAGTGCGAAGCTTGTGGCCGCTCACAAGCATAGAGAGGTCTTGGAGCACAGAGAGAACTGGCCTTCATTTGCGAGGATGCAAATTCTCATCCTACTTTTGCCAGTATTGCAACTTCTGGGATGATGCTGTGGCCTCAGCTTGCTTTGGGGCTTGAGACATTTTGCTCCAAGTTCAGGATGGAATCAGGAAGCAAGTATTTCATTGCAGCAAATGCGGAATATGTCGAGTCGGTGGACGTGAAAATTACTGTGTGCCACCTAGACGAGATACACGCAGATGCTTGCCACAAGGCTTATACATGCTCATTGCTCTTGCGCTCTTGCACTCGCTGAGTTCATTGCGATGGCTGCGGCAGCTGCATGATCCTCAGGGCATTTAGCTCAAGTGCCTATGTGCCTTTGGCAAGCTCCGTCTTGCGCTTGCGCTTCCGATGAAAAAAACACTCTGTTTCATCCCGTTTTCCCTGAGTCCTTCGTTTTGCAGGCTACCCGGCAGAGATCCGGGAGTCCCATACGTGTGTCGAGAACGCCATGCGACGGAATTGTCCTGTGTGCCTTCAGGTATGGCATGAAAATGAAGCATGAACTTGAAGACTTGCATTTCGATGATCTCTCATGGAATGGACACATGCAGGATCTCTTCCAATCTGTTACCCAAGTCACCATTCTTCAGTGCGGCCACACGATCCACCAGGCATCCAAACTGAGATGTTTTGATTAGTTTTGCATGGCGAACATCAGGACTGCCTGAGAGAGCTGCAGATGTCGTTTGCCGGTGCGAGACACGGACTTCGGGACTTCGGGACATCGGGACATCGGGACTTCGGAACGGGAATCAAGGCCTGCAGTCATTGCGCTGCCCGATCTGCAGCGCTGCGACCCCGGATTCGGAAGAGGTCGGAAGAGGTCGGAAGAGGTCGGAAGAGGTCGGAAGAGGTCGGAAGAGGTCGGAAGGTTGTTACATGAGGCTTCAGAGGCTTAAGAGGCTTCGAAGGCTTCGAAGGCTTCGAAGGCTTCGCATGCGAGGTGTCTCTCTATGGCTACGATGATCTTTGGCACGAAATGGACCGCCAAATCGCCGAGACGCCGATGCCCTTGGAATGCAGGCACCCAAACTGCAGCCTTGAAAGTGTATGGTCACTGGCTTTTGCCGCTTTTGCCGCTTTTGATGGTTTGCTGTGGGAGTCGGACAACGCTCGCATAGATCATGGTCATCAAATGTTGCACAAACCGTGGGAGTGGCAGGCATGAATTTCACAGTCCCAGAAAGAACACGAGAGACCAAAGGTGACCAAAGGTGACCAAGGTGCACTCGTGCACCTTGCCCATACCTTACCGCAACGTGCACACGAGCAACAGCCAACAGCGCTTCGCACTCGGCACACTCGTCCTAGCGGCCCCTCCCCCCTTTTGTGTGTCTTTGAAGCAGAGAAGAAAGAAAGGTACCCTCAAGGTTTCAATTGGCGAGGCGTTGCTTTGGAATTTGCAAATTTGCATTGCGAGTGCATAAGTCAGAGCTGTGAGGCAGCAAACAAAGATTATTTGTCCCGGGCCCAGACGCTTGAAGACGAAAGTCACCAAACGACGCTTGTTGTGTTTGAGGCAACGATTGCCAGCAGCCTTCTTCCGTGGAGTACCATGTCCTTGGTCAGAAGTGCCCAACATGCAGGCGGATGTGTTCGCTGACAGCAAGTGTTTCAGCGCGCTGTATCAACATATTTCTTCATTTGTCAAGCGTAGTTCAATGTCTTGGTGCACGGGCACGTTCTTGGCAAACGTGGTCCCTATTGAAGGACAGAGGCAGTATACCTTGCTCAGCGTCAACTGATGAAATTCACATTTCATGCATATGTATATATATATATATATATATATATGTACCAAGTGGTGTTAATATACATCCTCACTTGCACATGCCCTTGCACATCTTTTTGGCTCAAGGCCTTGAGCCTACATACAGTAGAGCTACAGCTTGCCACCAGGAAACAACAGTGCCGCGCTGTCACACACAGGTCTTCAGGTATTTACAACATCAATCCAACTTTAACATGGTAGCGGAGCAGTGGTCCCTGGTACACGATCCTACCACACTACCCAGGGTGAGCTCCAACACGCACTCACAGGTTGAGGTACACAGTAGTGAGTAACATGGCACAACAACAACAAGATCTGCAACCACAACAGCAGCAGCTGGAAGGAATCCACAAATACAAGATATCACCACCACGCTTCAGTGGAGAATACAACACCTTCGAAGAATGGAAGTACAAGATGACAGCATACCTGGGACTACAAGACCCAGACTACAACAGACTGCTTAGACAGTCAGAGCAATCAACAGGATCAGTTAGAAATGACCAACTTGAGAATGCAGCACCTTCACAACAAGTTGCAGAGCAATGGATACAACTGAGCAACAACCTGCACTACATCCTAGTGAGCACATGCGATGGACCAGCATCTACAATCTGCAGACAAAACATGCAAGGCAACGGGTTCGAAACATGGCGGCTCATACATGCAAGGTACTCCATACCTCTTGGTACAAGGAGCATTGGATACCTTACAAAGCTGCTCAAACCACAACTTGATGAACAGAAGTTCGAAGAGAGCTTTACAACATGGGAGTTCCAACTCGCAAGGTATGAACAAGACAACAACACACAACTACCAGATGCAAATCAAAATCGCAGTGCTACTCAATGAAACAAAGGACCACTACAGCAGCATTTGCAGCTACAAGCAGGAAACATCACAACATACGCACAGATCAGATCGATGGTGATCGAGTGCTACAGAGCAACAGCGTCATTCACCAGACTACAGTCAATCACATCAGGCAGCAACAGCAATCAAGGACCGGCACCAATGGACATAGGAGCAACATGGTACAACAAAGGAAAAGGAAAGAAGGGCAAGCGCAAAGGCAATCGAAAGCGCAACAAAGGCAAAGGCTACGGCGGCTACGGCAACAACGTCGGATACAACAACTACAAAGGAGGAAAAGGTAAGGACAATCAACAACCGGTTGGACAAGTCAATCCTTTCAAAGGACAACAAGGATACTCCAAAGGAAAAGGATACAACAACAACAAAGGAAAAGGAAAAGGATACTACAACAACCAACAAGGAGGAAAAGGATCAAAAGGAAAGCAAGCAACCAATGTTTGCTACAGATGTGGACAACCAGGACACATGGCCAAACAATGCAGAGTGGCGATCTACAGCTGCGATACTGGCAACTTCGACACCAATGACCAGACAGATGACTGGTACAGTCAGTCACACTATGACAACAACTGGTACCACCAACCAGGATCAGACACACATGCAACAACTAGCATTGCCACAACCACCACAAATGGCGGATCCATTAGCAGCACCCATCTCAGGATTACAAGAAGTAACAATTGCCATGATTGGCGCAGCGCAACAACACTCAGAAGACAACAAGTGGGTCAGTCTTATGATTGACAGCGGTGCGGCTACACATGTATGCCCACCATGGTTTGCGCCACACTTTCCACTACGCCAGCCTGCGCATGGAACAGGGCCACAACTCAGCACAGTGACCAACCAGCACATCGAGCTTTATGGGTACAGATGGGTCCGCGTGACAAATCACAGCGGACAACAAATTGTCATACCATTTTACGTTTGTGAGGTTAAACAGCCGATTCTTTCAGTTACAAGGCTGGTGGAACAAGGTTTCCAACTTACATTGGATGACAATCCAAAGCTACATCGCACCAAAGGATTCAACAGCACACTGGAGAGCAGAAATGGCCTGTTCTTCCTACAAGCAGAAATCACAGCATTGCCAAAAGGAACAAAGCTACAGATACACAACACGGACCAAGGACAGATCGGCATGATAGCACCGACCACAACATTGACACCACAAGGTCCTGCAGACACAGGTTACGCAGGAGAGTACTGGCAATTCAATACACAAGGTGAACTTGTCAGAGCACACAGGCAACACAGAAAGACACTCTTCACACCTTCGAGAACACAGTGTTCAGTCCCAGCAGAGCAACTTGAGGACTACAGGAAAACAAGCATCAGACTCAAGGATGGTACAACGAACACGTTTGAAGACAAGTATCAAACAATGGAAGCGCCAAACAAGGCACAACCGCAAATGTGGAAAGGAGAGACAACATTCAGGATCAAGAAAGGCACCACATTGCCAGAGGCAATGCAGCAACAGCTTGCAACAAAGACACAGCCAAAAAGTGCACCACAGAGGGTGACACCGCAAGTGATTCAGTACAAACCGCGCACACGGCTTGGAGAGAAAACAACACCACCGACAGTTCAGGACACACCTGCGCCACACACAACCAAAGGCGCAGCTGGACAAGGGCTTCCACATCCTTCAGAGGTACACCCTGGAGGATACTGGTACAGAGAAGGCCCATACTGGAAGAGAGTACATGTTGAACCCAGAACAGCGTTTTACATACCAGAGCAGACACACGACGGGCCAGACATCAAACGACTCCTGCCTTGAAAAAAAGACCAAGGTACAACCAGTTGGAGGAGAAAGACAACACACAAGGTTGATAGAAGATGAATGGACAACACAGCCAGCAAAGACATCAGACAAGCCTTGGTCAAGAGTTTCCAACGCAGCTCGAGCCAGATGATGAAGAACAACAACAAGGCACAAGAGCAAAAGCAGTACAGGCACCCAAGCAGCCTACACCACAGGAGATTTTGGAGCACAATGTCACACACCTCCCTTACAGGAGTTGGTGTCCGATATGCGTACAATCAAGAGGCAGACAAAACAACCACCCAAAACAGCACTGCAAGCTTCCAATCATACAACTCGACTTCGGCTACATCAAAGGCTTCGATGACAACAAGGTACATCCAATCCTCACAGCAATTGACATCCAATCAGGGATGATCATGGCAATACAATTGACCGACAAGAGGATGCTCTTCGACTATGCAGTCACACAGCTACAGCGCTTCCTCATTGAGTGTGGAAGAACAACACACACACAATACTACAATCAGATCAGGAAGATTTCCTGACAGCGCTCATTACCACAGTAGCAAGCAAGAACGGCAACATCACAACCCGGAACTCTGGAGCATACAGTTCACAATCATAAGGAGGAGTAGAACGAGCGCACAGAACATTGTTTGCGCAAATCAGAACACTCAAGGCACAGATCAAGCAAAACTACAACAGAGACATTCAGGTACGCTTTGCACAGCAATGGATGCACAAGCTACTTCAACAGATGGAACAGAGAACAGCATACACCATTTTGCGAGTTTGGTGAGACAGTGCAATACATGCTACCAACAGTAAAACAATTTCCAAAACTAGAGCCAAGGTTCTACAACAGGATCTGGCTTGGCAAGGACGCAACTACAGGCGAATCCCTCATTGGGATCTACAACAAGATTGTCAGAGCAAGGGCAATCAGAAGGCAAATAATGCCTCACAAACACGACCAGCAACTATTGGACTGTGTACACACAGGTCCATGGAAGACACCAGCATCAGCACTGCCCACACCGACTCTCACACCACCAGTAACAATGCCATCAGCAAGCAAAACAATTACATCACAGAAGGATGCAGCAACAAGTACAGCAGCAGACAACAAGAGACAAAGCACCGCGCAGTCGAGCGAACAACAGCCAAAGCAGAAGAGGGCAGCAGAGCCAACATCACCTATGGCTACATCACCGGCGCATCAGAAACGACCATCATTGCCAGCACCACCGCACACATCACAGACAAGAGAAAGAGATACAATAGCAGAAGGCAGCACCGGCAAGCAACACCGCACCACAGCAGAGAGACAAACCCTTGAGCGACCTACAACAGCAGAACAACCAAAGAGCAAGATGAGAATCAATGCCATCAAGTTCACAACAAAGGATGGTAAACAAATGGAGACAACCTCCAATGAAGACACACAAGAAATCGAAAATGAAAGGATCCTACTAGAGCCAATCATACATGACACAGAGAACCTGGATCCACAACTGGTAGCACAAGGCATGAAGAAGGAAGTGCAACAAATGAAAGAACAATCAGTCTTCACAGAGATTGATGGCAACACAATGACACCAGAACAACAAACGAACATCATTGAATCAAGATGGGTTCTAAAACCGAAGCACAATGAAGTACGAGCACGCATAGTAGCAAAAGGCTACACAGAACCCGTTACAGACCATGATCGCAAGTACACCACTGTTTTGCATTCTGAGAGTGCTCCTCACAATGGCACTGGTGTACAACTGGTCGGTCTGTACTGGAGATGTGAGTGTTGCATTTCTACATGCAGCAGCCATCACACACAATCTGGTAATGAGACCGCCGCACGAGTTTTACAACGAAGGGAACAGACACATAATGTGGCGGCTAAACAAAGCAATCTACGGTCTTAGATCATCACCAAAACAATGGCAAGACCACATAGCGCACGTTCTCACAGTCACACTCGAATTGGTGAGATGCACAACAGAAAGCAATGTCTGCAGGTCAAAGGATTGCCTGGTCTACATTATGATCTATGTAGACGATCTCCTATTACTAGGAGTACAAAGCATCATCAACACACTGTTCAGCAGAATACAAAAGGAAGTTCTGCTTAGACACACAGGCGATCTAACAGTTGGATCAACAATCCACTTCCTTGGCAGAAACATCTCACACAGAGGTGATCACATCAACATCAGCTTGAACAACAACTATGTTGACATCATCCTGGAAGAGTCAGGAATGACTACATGCAACCCAGCACCATCACCAGGGGTATCACACATGAAAGGTACAGCAGAAGACGAAGCACCACTTGACCACGAACAGCGCAAACGATACAGGCGGCTTGTTGGCAAAATACAATGGCTAGCGTACACACGACCAGACATCAGCTATGGAGCAAAAGAGCTAGCCAGATCATTACAAGCACCAACACAGTTTGACAACAAGAAGCTCAAGCACATGATCAGGTACCTTAAGGGCACAAGGTACATGCGACACAACTTGCGACCAAAGATACAAACACACTCAACATTGAAACATACACAGATGCCAATTAGGCATCATGTGAAACAACGAGAAAGAGCGCAACAGGATTGGTACTGTACTTCTTTGGAGCAGCAGTACATTGTGCCAGCAGAACACAAGCCACAATAGCACTTTCATCAGCAGAATCAGAACTGTACGCGATTGGTACAGCAGCACAAGAAAGCCTCTACATCGGCAACTTCATAAAAGAAGCATTTGAGGTACGCATCAACATCAGGATACACACAGACAGCAGTGCAGCAAAATCAATCTCAATGAGAGAAGGCACATCAAAGAAAGCGAAACACATCGAGCTACGGCACCTCTTCATACAACAACTTGTCAAAAGCAAAATCATTTCAATGCACAAAGTGAGGTCTGAAGACAACCCATCAGACCTGCTGACAAAGTTTGTCAGCTGCGACACACTCAACAAGCACCTGTACAACGTTGGCCTGTGAGGCCACACAACACCAGTTCCACACAGTTGCGCAGTATGTTAAACAACAGTTGCACAGTTGACACACGTGTATGTTTCACAACTAAACGGCCGGCACACATGTTTTAGCTTTAGGTTAGGTACAGCCATGGACCTGCCCTGGAGATGATACAACCTTTCTGGTTTTGGGTACACAACTTTGAGTTCATTTTTGACCACACCTTGTACATCCTCGGGTACATTTTTTACTGCATGAGGTTTCATACATGTTTCAGACAATGTCTTGGGTACATGTCGCAGCCATTTTACATTTTGTGGAGACACACCCCTGTACATTGAAGGCACACAATGGCGATGTCAGGTCTCACAAGGATCGCTGACTACATCCCGGCCACAGAGGTCACAGTGGCGAGGACATGGGGCGCGATGAGCCTTACATCTTTGGGCTACACCGAGGAGAACATCACCGGGAAACAGCCTTTGCGTACATTGGATGGGATCCACATGGACACCAGTCAGAACAAGACCAACATGATGTACATTGCAGTGACATTTGAGGAGTTCACATCTTGGACAGAGAATGGTGAGCTGAAACACATCCATGGCTGGGCGAGATGCCCAGAGGTCGAGTACATCGTGCTGAACAGCTCCCCCTTCGAGGCTGTCACAACACTTCTGAATTACATTTCTGTCGGGACATGCAGGACACAGCACCTCTTCATTGTGGCCACGGTACAGCTGGATGCGAGGCACATTGCCGAGTGGGCATCCTGCGGCTACATCAATTTCTTCAATAGGGGCTACAGTGCAGTACACATGCAAATTCACATGCATAAGACATGGATGCAGACACAAGATGAGCTGTCTAAACATCAGGTTTTCAAATACACTGGCAACAATGGTTTGCTCGGGGTTTACATGAAGTTCAACTGGAACACAGGGTACATCTGGTCCTACAACGCCTGCGTGAACCTCGAGCAACTCGCAACAGATGAGGACACATGCCGCAGACATGCCACAGTGGCACAGGCATTGTCCTTGATGGGAGTTGGCAGCATCAAACATCTGCACCTGCGCATCAAGTGACATTGGTGAGGCACATCTCGATGCAAGATGCAAACAGTCTCAACACACGTGGCACAATTGAGGGACAGGCAGTGCCAGGACATCCGGGCCACATTGACTACATCCTCGAGCAGCAGCATCTGTTTTGCATGAACTATGCTGCGACCAAGGCGCAGGTGTACAACGAGTACATTACAGGAGTGAAGCAGGGAGCCACACTGCTTACACAGTGATTGCCGATTTTTGGCACACCGGATTTGTGGACACAAGGTGTTGCAGATACACCTTGCTGACGTCAGGTCACACTTGCAGTCTGTACAGCCGCTCGACACATTAGAGGAACCGTTGTACAAATTGAAACAGTCAGTAGAGCTGCTAACAATTTTACATCACCTCGACAAGCTAGAGCACAACTGTTTGTCTTGATGTCTAGGTACATCAATCCAAGGTGGGGTGTTAATATACATCCTCACTTGCACATGCCCTTGCGCATCTGTATGATCAAGGCCTTGAGCCTACATACAGTAGAGCTACAGCTTGCCACCAGGAAACAACAGTGCCGCGCTGTCACACACAGGTCTTCAGGTATTTACAACAACATCAATCCAACTTAAACACATTTCATGCATATGTATATATATATATGTACCAAGTGGTCAAAGCGTTCAATGTGTCAGGTCCTACAATACGCGACGTGTGTGAGGGCGGGAAAGGGCTGGGTCCAATTCGGCGCAAGCCGCGGTGTGGCCACAGAGCATTGAACGATCCTTGAAGTCTTTCATGAGAGCATGTCGATTGCACGTTGCCCTCGTTTGGTTCAAGGGCGCACGCATGGCTTTGGAGCCGGTCGCAGATGGCTTACCCGAGAGTTGCAGAGCACAAAGAAGACACAAAGGAAACAAACAGGAACGAGCGAGAGGAAAGGACGAAAGATATAATGAAGCGACATGCAAAGTGTTTCCAACATTTTACACGTTTCCTAGCGATGCTGCCACATCACCGAGCTCGTTCCGGGCCGGGCCCACGGGTGAAATGTGAGAGAAGGCAAAGGAAGACGGGGAACTCTTTCCTGAGCTTTCGCTCGTAGGCTGGTAGCGAGTGGCCGGGCCTCCTTGCGAGGCCGGTGCAATCTGCAAGAGTCGGCGTCGAGTTTCTTAGCTCAGGCGACGGGCGCGAAGCCAGGCGTGGAGGCGAGAGAAGTCGAGAGATGCGGCTTTACGGCTCTACGGCTCAGTTGCTTAGGCGCCAGCCCCGGGAGACTCCCCGCGGCGCCGGCGCCCGCACCCGTGCCGGCGGCGCCCTCCGCGCCCTCCACGCCCTCCAGGGCGCCCGCGCCCTCGGCTCCCCGCGTGCCCCGCGCGGCTCGGGCGCCTCGCGCGCGCGCGCCTCGCCTTCGCGATGGCGCTGGCCTCGGGCGTTGCGAGGGCGTTGCGTTGTGAGATCGAGTCGAGTCCAGAGGTCGAGATGGTCGAGATGGTCGAGAGGAGTGCGCGTTCCAAGATTGGAGAGATGAGATCCGAGTTTGTAGGATGAAAAGCTGGCCATGGCTCTCCTGGAGCAGGATGCCAAGCCTACTGCATCAGTGTTACATGTGGGTGTGTGCAGGACGTGGCAGACGCGGAGGTGGGAAAGACAAGATACACGGAGACGAAGCAACCACATTGGGATGGAGAGTTAGAGAAGAGAAAAACGTGTGCAAAACGAGACAAAGGGGAGAGGTAAGAGTACAAGGAATAGTAGACTGAGTTTGTAGCTCTACCAAAGACAATAATAGAGTGGCGACGGAAGTAGCACAGATAGATATCGAGAAGAAGGAAGAGAAGGAAGATAAGAAAGAGAAGAAAGACAAGAAAGAGAAGAAAGAGAAAGAGAGGAAAGAGAAAGAGAACGAAGGGAAAGACAAGGATGACAAGAACAACAAGAAAGGGAAGGAAGAAAAGGAAGAGAAGAAAGAGAAGGAAGAGAAGAAAGAGGAAACAGAGTGAAGAAAAATAATCTGAGAAGAAAGAAAGAGGAGGAGAAGGAGGAGAAGAAAGAAAAGCAAGAGAAGAAAGAGAAGGAAGAGAGGAACGAGAAGGAAGATAAGAAAGAGGAGAAGGAGAAGGAAGAGAAGGAGAGGAAAGAGAAGCAAGAGAAAGAGAAGGAAGAGAAGAAAGAGAGGAAAGAGAAAGAGAAGAAAGAGAAGAAAGGGAAAGAGAAGGAAGAGAAGAAAGAGAGGAAAGAGAAGGAGAGGAAAGAGAAGAAAGAGAAAGAGAAGGAAGAGAAGAAAGAGAGGAAAGAGAAGGAGAGAGGAAAGAGAAGAAAGAGAAAGAGAAGGAAGAGAAGAAAGAGAAAGAGAAGAAAGAGAAAAAGAAGAAAGAGAAAGAGAAGGAAGAGAAGAAAGAAAGGAAAGAGAAGAAAGAGAAAGAGAAGGAAGAGAAGAAAGAGAGGAAAGAGAAGACAGAGGAGAAACTGAAGAAAGAGAAGAAGGAGGAGAGCGAGATAGAAAGATAAGGAAGAGAAGAAAGAGAGGAAAGAGAAGGAAGAGAAGAAACTGGAAGAAGGAGATGAAAGAGAAGAAAGAGAAGGAAGAGAAAAATAAGGAAGAGAAGAAAGAGAGGAAAGAGAAGGAAGAGAAGACACTGGAAGAAGGAGATGAAAGAGAAAAAAGAGAAGGAAGAGACAGATAAGGCAGAGAAGAAAGAGAGGAAAGAGAAGGAAGAGAAGCAACTGGAAGAAGGAGATGAAAGAGAAGAAAGAGAAGGAAGAGAAAGAGAAGGAAGGGAAGAAAGAGAGGAAAGAGAAGGAAGAGAAGAAACTGGAAGAAGGAGAAAATGAAAAGAGAAAATGAAAAGAGAAGAAAGATAAAAGAGAATAAAGAGAAGGGAAAGAAAGAGAGGAAAGAGAAGGAAGAGAGAAAAGGGGAAGAAGAGAGAAAAGATAAGAAAGAGAAGGAAGAGAAAGATAAGGAAGAGAAAAAGAGAGGAAAGAGAAGGAAGAGAAGAAACTGGAAGAAGGAGCTTCTCTTTGTTCTCTTTCCTCTCTTTCTTCTCTTTCGTCTCTTTCTTCCAGTTTCTTCTCTTCCGTCTCTTTCCTCTCTTTCTTCTCTTCCTTCTCTTTCTCTTCCTTCCCTTTCTTCTCTTTCATCTCCTTCTTCCAGTTTCTTCTCTTCCTTCTCTTTCCTCGCTTTCTTCTCTTCCTTATCTTTCTCTTCCTTCTCTTTCTAACTTTCTTCTCTTTCATCTCCTTCTTCTAGTTTCGTCTCTTCCTTCTCTTTCCTTTCTTTCCTTCCTTCTCTTTCGTCTCTTTCATCTCCTTCTTCCAGTTTCTTCTCTTCCTTCTCTTTCCTCTCTTTCTTCTCTTCCTTATCTTTCTCTTCCTTCTCTTTTTTTTGTCTTTCATCTCCTTCTTCCGGTTTGTTCTCTTCCTTCTCGTTCCTCTCTTTCTTCTCTTCCTTATCTTTCTCTTCCTTCTCTTTCTTCTCTTTCATCTCCTTCTTCTAGTTTCTTCTCTTCCTTCTCTTTCCTCTCTTTCTCCTCTTTCATCTCTTTCTTCCAGTTTCTTCTCTTCCTTCTCTTTCTTCTCTTTCATCTCCTTCTTCAAGTTTCTTCTCTTCCTTCTCTTTCCTCTCTTTCTTCTCTTCCTTCTCTTTCTCTTCCTTCTCTTTCTTCTCTTTCATCTCCTTCTTCCAGTTTCTTCTCTTCCTTCTCTTTCCTCTCTTTCTTCTCTTATTTATCTTTCTCTTACTTCTTTTTCTTCGGAGATGAAAGAGAAGAAAGAGAAGGAAGAGAAAGATAAGGAAGAGAAGAAAGAGAGGAAAGAGAAGGAAGAGAAGAAACTGGAAGAAGGAGATGAAAGAGAAGAAAGATAAGGAAGAGAACGATAAGGAAGAGAAGAAAGAGAGGAAAGAGAAGGAAGAGAAGAAACTGGAAGAAGGAGATGACAGAGAAGAAAGAGAAGGAAGAGAAAGATAAGGAAGAGAAGAAAGAGAGGAAAGAGAAGGAAGAGAAGCAACTGGAAGAAGGAGATGAAAGAGAAGAAAGAGAAGGAAGAGAAAGAGAAGGAAGAGAAGAAAGAGAGGAAAGAGAAGGAAGAGAGGAAACTGGAAGAAGGAGATGAAAGAGAAGGAAGAGAAGGAAGAGAAAGATAAGGAAGAGAAGAAAGAGAGGAAAGAGAAGGAAGAGAAGCAACTGGAAGAAGGAGATGAAAGAGAAGAAGGAGAAGGAAGAGAAAGATAAGGAAGTGAAGAAAGAGAGGACAGAGAAGGAAGAGAAGAAACTGGAAGAAGGAAGAGAAAGATAAGGAAGAGAAGAAAGAGAGGAAAGAGAAGGAAGAGAAGCAACTGGAAGAAGGAGATGAAAGAGAAGAAAGAGAAGGAAGAGAATGATAAGGAAGAGAAGAAAGAGAGGAAAGAGAAGGAAGAGAAGAAACTGGAAGAAGGAGATGAAGGAGAAGAAAGAGAAGGAAGAGAAAGACAAGGAAGAGAAGAAAGAGAGGAAAGAGAAGGAAGAGAAGAAACTGGAAGAAGGAGATGAAAGAGAAGAAAGAGAAGGAAGAGAGAAGAAAGAGAGGAAAGAGAAGGAAGAGAAGAAACTGGAAGAAAGAAAATGAAAGAGGAGAAAGAGAGGAAAGAGAAGGAAGAGAAGAAACTGGAAGAAGGAGATGAAAGAGAAGAAAGAGAAGGAAGAGAAAGATCAGGAAGAGAAGAAAGAGAGGAAAGAGAAGGAAGAGAAGAAGCCGGAAGAAGGAGATGAAAGAGAAGAAAGGGAAGGAAGAGAAAGATAAGGAAGAGAAGAAAGAGAGGAAAGAGAAGGAAGAGAAGAAACTGGAAGAAGGAGATGAAAGAGAAGAAAGAGAAGGAAGAGAACGATAAGGAAGAGAAGAAAGAGAGGAAAGAGAAGGAAGAGAAGAAACTGGAAGAAGGAGATGACAGAGAAGAAAGAGAAGGAAGAGAAAGATAAGGAAGAGAAGAAAGAGAGGAAAGAGAAGGAAGAGAAGAAACTGGAAGAAGGAGATGAAAGAGAAGAAAGAGAAGGAAGAGAAAGATAAGGAAGATAAGAAAGAGAGGAAAGAGAAGGAAGAGAAGCAACTGGAAGAAGGATATGACAGAGAAGAAAGAGAAGGAAGAGAAAGATAAGGAAGAGAAGAAAGAGAGGAAAGAGAAGGAAGAGAAGAAACTGGAAGAAGGAGATGAAAGAGAAGAAAGAGAAGGAAGAGAAAGAGAAGGAAGAGAAGAAAGAGAGGAAAGAGAAGGAAGAGAAGAAACCGGAAGAAGGAGATGAAAGAGAAGAAAGAGAAGGAAGAGAAAGAGAAGGAAGAGAAGAAAGAGAGGAAAGAGAAGGAAGATAAGCAACTGGAAGAAGGAGATGAAAGAGAAGAAAGAGAA